ACCATGGTTCTCAAGTAATCAAATCTCTACTCTCTCTTTCGATTTCGTTACTGAATCTAATTGCAATGATTCATGATTTTATTGTGAGATGGATCGATTCACTGAATTGGGATCTTCATTTGTTTCAATCGGATTGTGTGATATGTTTTTGATTTCTCGCTATTTTAGTGGCAAAATCTGGGTAATTTCATGGGTTTCGATAGGATATTGAGATTGTGTACTTCTGTAACTGGATCTCGTTCAGCTTTTATACATTTTCTTACATGATGGTCTGTATTTGGTATTGTATGATTCATTTCTATTACGTAGCCTGAGATCTTTCAAGATTAAAGATCATTTTACTTGTTTATATGGTTGCTATCATTTCTTATTTACCTTTGGAATACAGGACGGAACTTTGTCGTTTCAGTGGCCACAAGATTTACCCAGGCAGAGGAATTAGATTTATCCGATCTGATTCTCAGGTAGCTTTTTTTCCTTTTCTTTTAATCTTGAGCTCTATCAAATTGATGTTTATATAGTTTTGCAAATATTCTTTTCTTAAAACTCTAAAAATGATTGGTGTGTTGTTTCTATGATTTCATCAGGTGTTTTTGTTCATTAACTCGAAGTGTAAGAGATACTTTCACAACAAGTTGAAGCCTTCCAAGCTTTCATGGACGGCCATGTACAGGAAGCAACACAAGAAGGTTGTAAAATGATTCTTGTGATTGTCTAAGATTCCGCTTTGGATTGTTGTGACAGTGATACTGATCAGTAAACTCTTTTAAAAAAATTGTGATCCTTTCTATAGGATGCAGCTCAAGAGGCTGTGAAGAAGAGGAGACGTGCCACCAAGAAGCCATACTCAAGGTCCATTGTTGGTGCTACCTTGGAAGTGATTCAGAAGAAGAGAGCTGAGAAGCCTGAAGTTCGTGATGCTGCAAGAGAAGCTGCTCTACGGTTGGTGTTTCTGTCTCGATTCGTCCAATTTGAATAACTCAGATTCCAAAAGTAATCGGCTTTTAACATGAATGTCTTGATTCAACAGTGAGATCAAGGAAAGAATCAAGAAGACGAAAGATGAGAAGAAAGCTAAGAAGGCAGAGTTTGCTTCTAAGCAACAGAAGGTTCAGGCAAAGATCCCCAAAGCTGCTGCAACCAAGGGTCCTAAGTTGGGAGGTGGTGGTGGTAAACGCTGAAGAGCCAAATCCATATCTTTCTCTGCTAGTGGCTACTTTTTACTAGTTAATGTTGTTGATTTCAGAATATTCTGCAAAACGTAAACCTTGTTTTTGGTTTTTGTCTCTTACTTTTTGCAACTCTTATGATCTCAGACTTGAGGGTTTTGCTGTTTATCAAGTTTATTTCACTATTCTCTCTGGTCTTCTAATCAGTAGAATCGAGAGTTGTGTTTTCTCAATTTGTTTTTAGAACAGTATTTGTTAAACAAGTTGGTCCCTAATCTTAGTCATGGTTGGGAACTGCCTAGGAGAGCTTATGAACGAATTCTATAATGTACCAAACTGAGTGGAATAAGACTGTGTTTCAATACTCTTCATAGCTTCTTGAACTGTATTTAGGGTTTTTCATTCTCTCATGTCATGTGTAATCTCCGATTTCGGTTCCTACTTAGATTTTATAACAGTCTTAACATATATTCTAACAAATCAAAGTTTTTGATATATCATTATAACCGGAGCATGTAATTGTAGGCCAAATACTAAATCTCTGATGAATCGCTGACCGTCATGAGTTGCTTAGAAAAAATGGGCATGTGAAACAATAAGTTATGAAGGAAACAATAAGTTATCTATATAAAGTCAAGATGTGTGTGAAAAGGTATTATCGACCAAGGCCAAACTAATTATTCTTCTTTCTGTAAAAAGAAAAACATGGATATTAGATATTTAAGTAAAATAGAAAAAGAAAGAGACAAAACAAGAAGAAAACATTATTCTCTCTTGCATCTTACTTCAACTCTACTTTGGATCTCGATCTCAATCTCCAACTTTAGACAGACAATGAACAAGA